CCTGCAGCACGGCCTGGTCAACTTCACACTCAACAAGCTCGTCGACCGGGTATGGGCCAGGACAGGAGGGCTGCCTGGAGGCGGTGGCATTGAAGCTGAGCTCAGAGGGCTCAAAGTTGCGGGGGGGTGACCTCTGTTCTAGTCACTGTTCTCGAGCTTTACATGTAGTATTGACAGATTTAATTCTTATGACAACTTTATGAGACAGTGCTAGTATTATCCCCACTGGGGTTGGGGAAATTGAGGCCGGGAGAGGGGAGACAATTAGCCCAGAGTCTTACAGCTAGCTGTGAGCTGCGGAGCTGGCCCTAGAGCCTGCGCTCACACCGCTGTCCCTCACTGCCTGCCTGCGGTATAAAGGGAGCATTTGGGTCATAGGCATCCATTGAAACCAGAAGGTTCGGCAGGGGCTAATAGCACGGGGCATGGGCATTTCCTGAGGTCACTAGGGAGCCATGGGAGGCTTTAGGCAGGGAGGGCATGGTCAGATCTTTACTTTGGAACTACACCCCGGGCTTCGCTGTGTGGGCTGAACTGGGTGAAGGAATTGGAGCTGAGGAAACCATGGGACGCGCAGCAGAGGGACCCCCAGTAACGGCGACACCAGGGCCCCGGGCCAGCTCTAAGCCCACTGCTCAGGCCTCGCTCAGTTTCCTCTGGGGAGGAATGGGGTTTGGAGGGAGATGGGGGGCTGTTGGCTCACTCTGCAGTGAGCATGCGGTCTGGTGGGGGGCCCCCCCGTGCTCCTCACTCATCCCCTCCCCGCACAGGGCTTCACCCCCATGACGGTGCCAGACCTCCTCCGAGGAGCTGTGTTCGTGAGTGAGGCCCCTCCCCTCCCCGAGTCCAGCTGGGGGTCAGGCCCTGTCCTAGGGGCCATAACGGGGAGGCCAGGGTGATTGCCCTGACCCCTGTGGCCTGGCCGCCTCCCCCAGGAAGGCTGCGGGATGACACCAAACGCCACCCCATCCCAGATTTACAACATTGACCCCTCCCGCTTCGAAGACCTCAACCTGGCTGGGACGGCAGAGGTGGGGCTTGCAGGTGAGCACCTACCGGTGTGGGGCGAAGAGCAGGAGGGATTGCGGGGGACAGCTGGGAACATCCTGCGGGAGGGAGTGGCTGCCTGCCCAGGACAGCTCAGCAACCCCAGGGCCAACGTGTACAGTTGTGTAGGTTGTTCACTGTACAATAGTACAGTGACAGTCCAGCCACGTGCCCTGACCCGGGGCTGCACCCTGCAGAGGGAACGCCTCTTCTGCTCTCGTGATGGCGGCCCTGGCTGGCCCTGTTGCCCCTTCTCTTCCCAGGCTACTTCATGGACCACGCTGTGGCCTTCAGGGACCTGCCAATCAGGTGACACCCAGTTTCCTTAGACCTTGTCCCCACTTGGGACATCCACTCTCCCCTCCCTGACCTGATGTCGCCTGTTCTCTGCCAGGATGGTTTGCTCCAGCACCTGCTACCGGGCGGAGACGGACACAGGGAAGGAGCCGCGGGGGCTGTACCGGGTACACCACTTCACCAAGGTTGGTGTGGCTGGGGCTGGGGGCGGGTCACCCGACAGCTCAGAGCCTCCTGACTCCTGTGCCCCTGCCCTGGCCAGGTAGAGATGTTTGGGGTGACAAGCCCTGGTCTGGAGCAGAGCTCGCAGCTGCTGGAGGAGTTCCTGTCCCTTCAGATGGAGATCTTGACGGAGCTGGGCTTGCACTTCCGGTGCGGAGGGGGGCGGGGCGGGTGGCAGAGGGTGGGTGTGGGGGGGACAAGGGCCCGGCCAGGTGCTCCCCACCTGGATCCGCCTCACCACCTGCTCCTTCTCTACCCACTTTCTCCGTGTGCGGATCAGAGGAGGGACACAGGACATCTGCGTGTCTGTCATCCTCTGTGGGACTCTGACAGACACATAAGCAGCCCCGGGTGCTCCAGGCGGGGACCCAGGCCCTCCCTGTCCCTCCCGCTGCCCCCACTCCTAGGGCGCCGCCTCATCTGCAGGCGGGAAAGGGAAGGCACAGGCCTTGCAAGCCCAGCTTCCTTCTCACCCCGCCGGTCACGTGTAGCTTTCAAGGGAGGCTGAGAAATGCGGACTGCTCTTCTGGGTGACCCATCGCGAAAACACGGGGGGTGCTGTTGTTATAGCTGAGAATGGCCGCGTGAACGCCTGTAGGCTCTGCCACGTGCCTCTTCTCCCTCCCGTCAGCCTCTTCCGTGCCACCTTCTCCATCACCGTCCCCGCCACCTCTTCCCTTTGCCACTGTCATCTCCTGCCTTTTTACTGCCATTTTTCTCTTTATTTGGTGACCTCCTCCCCTCCCCCTCCCCCTCCCCCTCCTCC